CCTGTACAGCCGCAACATGACCCTCCCAACTCCTGTACTCAATGCACTGACCAATAAAGGAAAGCGTACCAAACACCTTCTTCACCGCCCTGTCTACCTGCAACTCCACTTTCAAGGAACTATGGACCTACCCCCCAAGATCCCTTTATTCAATAATCTACTCCACCATTCAATGGCTGATTCCCAAATCCACCTTCCTGCTTTTTCCTTACATCCCTGATGCTCTTCCTGATTAAAAAGTCCTCTCTATCTCAGCCTCGAATACATGGTACCAGCAGACCGTGAGATGCACGAGTAGGCCATTCAGCCCGTTGAGTCTGCTCCTACATTCGATATAATCGTGGTTTAGCTGATAATCCTCACCTCCTTTTCCCCATAATCCTCGACCCCCCCCTCCTGATTAAAAATCTTAGCCTTGAATATATAGAATAACCCAGCCTCGACAGCCCTCATTGGTAAGGAATTCCACAAAAATTCACTCCCGTCTGAGAGAAGCATTCGAATTGCAAGACTCTTTTATGTTAATTTGTTGTTTGCCTGTAGCTGGCGAAGCTTTTATTGCCTAGTTAAGAGTCAGCCATATTGCTGTGGGTCTGGAGTCACGTATAGACACATGTAGATGGGTAATGAGGGCAGATTGCTATCTCAAAATGGAGCGTGCCAAGGGGCTGAACCCAGGTCTTAACTGGCACTCAAATTTCATAGAGTCATACAGCACGGAAACAGACCCTTTGGCCCAACCAGTCCGTGCCGACCATAATCCCCAAACTAATCTAGTCCCATCTGCCTGCTCCTGGCCCATATCCCTCCAAACCTTTCCTATTCATGTACTTATCCAAATGTCTTTTAGATGTTGTAACTGTACCCGCATCCACCACTTCCTCTGGCACTTCACACACCACACTCTGTGTAAAAAAGTTGTCCCTCATGCCCTTTCTAAATCTTTCTCCTCTCACCTTAAAAAACATGCCCCCTAGACTTGAAATCCCCCCAACCTAGGGAAAAGACATTTGCCATTCAACTTATCTGTACACCTCATGATTTTATAAACTTCTATGAGGTCACACCTCAACCTCCTACGCTCCAGTGAAAAACATCCCAGCCTCTCCTTACAGCTCAAACCCTCCATTCCTGGCAACATCCTGGTAAATCTCTTCTGAACCCTCTCCAGTTTAATAATATCCTTCCTATAACAGGGAGACCAGAACTGGACACAGTGCTCCAGAAGAGGCCTCACCAATGTCCTGTACAACCTCAATGTGACGTCCCCAACTCCTATACTCAAAGGTCTGAGCGATGAAGGCAAGCGTGTTAAACACCTTCTTAACCACGCTGTCTGTATGTGACACAAATTTCAAAGAATTATGTACCTGGACCCCTCTCTGTTCTACAACAGGGCCCTACGTTTAATTGTACAAGTCCTGCCCCTTGTCTGTTTACCCAAAATTGATCAACTTTGCCAAAACTGCATTTATCCAAATTAAACTCCATCTGCCACTCCTCAGCCCGTTGACCCAAATGATCAGAAAAATTGTAGGAACTGCCGATGCTGGAGAATCTGAGATGACAAGATGTAGAGCTGGATGAACACAGCAGGCCAAGCAGCATCAGAGGAGCAGGAAGGCTGACGTTTCGAGTCAGGACCCTTCTTCAGAAATGATTACCAGGATGTTGCCGGGAATGGAGGGTTTGAGTTATAAGGAGGGGCTAGAATTTTTTCACTGGATCTTAGGAGGTTGAGGGGTGACCTTATAGAGGTTTATAAAATCATGAGGTGTACAGATAAGGTGAATGGCAGAAATGTTCAGAAATTTCTGAAGAAGGGTCCAGACCCAAAACGTCAGCCTTCCTGCTCCTCTGATGCTGCCTGGCCTGCTGTGTTCATCCAGCTCTACACCTTGCTGATCAGAAAGAGACACCTCATTTCGATGATTTCAGAACATCCCTAAGGGGAGCAAGCTCTCCCATACCTTCTTGGTGAGAAACATAGGAGTGGTGGACTGGAGCACTCAAGCACGGTCGTCTCGAGCACGTGCCAATACTGACTGGGGGCATCAGGTAAGAATGAAGATGTTCCCAGCTGATCTGGCACATTTTTAAACCTAATTTGCTCACAGGATGTGAGAGTTGCTTGCTAGGCTGGCATTCATTACCCATCCCTAATTGCCCCCAGGGCATTTGAGAGTCAACCACATTGCTGTGGGTCTGGAGTCACATATACACCAGGCCAGATAAGGTTAGCAGTCACCTTCCCTAAATACAATGTGGAAGCAGGCCATTCGGCCCACTGAGTCCGCACCGACCCTCCGGAGAGCATTCCACCCAGGCCCACTACACTATCCCTGTAACCCTGCATTTCCCACGGCCAACCCATCCTAACCTGCACATCCCTGGGCACTACGGGACAATTTAGCACGGCCAATCCACCTTAACCTGCACATCCCTGGGCACTACGGGACAATTTAGCACGGCCAATCCACCCTAACCCGCACATCCCTGGGCACTACGGGACAATTTAGCACGGCCAACCCACCCTAACCCGTACATCCCTGGGCACTACGGGACAATTTAGCACGGCCGATCCACCCTAACCCGCACATCCCTGGGCACTACGGGACAATTTAGCACGGCCGACCCACCCTAACCCGCACATCCCTGGGCACTACGGGACAATATAGCACGGCCGATCCACCCTAACCCGCACATCCCTGGGCACTACGGGACAATTTAGCATGGCCAATCCAACTTAACCTGCACATCTTTGGACTGTGGGAGGAAACCGGAGCACCCGGAGGAAACCCACGCAGAGACGGGGAGAATGTGCAAACCCCACACAGACAGTCGCCCGAGGGTGGGATCGAAGCCGGGTCCCTGGCGCCGTGAGGCAGCGGCGCTAACCTCTGAGCTGTCCCAAAAAGGGGCATTAGTGAACCAGATGGGCCTCTCATCATCGTTCGACTTCTGATTCCAGATTTTTTTAAAAATCGAATTCAAATTTCACCGCGTCCCGAAAGGTAGGTCTTGAACCCAGGTCTCCGGGTTAATGAACTAGCAACAATACCACTGGGCCATCACATCCCCTGAAATGATGCACTGGGAGGAATTAATAATGTCCTGCGTTCTTTCATGGGATGTGGCTGGATCACCAGTTATTGGCTCCTCTGGATACCCCTGAGCTCGGTGGTTAGGATCGAGACCCACACTGCAGCATGTCACAGCTGATGATGCTTTTGAGGTAAAGTTAACCACGAAAGAAGAATCTGGAAAAGATGCACTCGTTTCTCAAGAGTTCCGTGAGCCAAAGGACATGAAACCAATCCCTTTCCAGTGGTGCATCTCGTGCTGGTTCTTCCAGGTAGATATGCAAACACGGCCGAGCTTAAAATAACATCAGGGAGTGAAAATTGAGTCTTATGACTTGGTATTAGAAGCGAAGTTTAAAACAAATATGGTACATTCGCTGCAGAAACATGAGCTGTCGTGTAAACAATAGATCTAGGTTTAATTCATTATTTATTCTTTCAAAGGATGTGGGTGGATCTGGCTCTGCCTGATCACAATTGCTGATCACAAATTATCCCCTTATCACCATCATCTTGCGCTGCCTCCCTGAACCGCTGCAGTCCATGTGCTGTGGGTTGACCCACAGCGTCCCCTTAGGGAGGGAATTCCAGGGATTCTGACCCAGCGACACTGAAGGAACAGCCGATATATTTCCAAGTCGGGATAGGGAGGGGCTCGGAGGGGAACTTGCAGGGGGTGGGGGTCCCATGTATCTGCTGCCCCTTGTCCTTCTGGATGGAAGTGGCCGTGGGTTTGGAAGGTGCTGCCTGAGGATCTTTGGTGAATCTCTGCAGTGCATCTTGTAGATGGTACACACTGCTGCGACTGAGCGTCGGTGGGGGGAGGGAGTGGGATGTTTGTGGATGTGGTGCCAATCGGGCGGGGGCTGCTTTGTCCTGGATGGTGTCGAGCTTCTTGAGTGTTGTTGGGGCTGCACCCATCCGGGGGCAAATGGGGAGTATTCCATCACACTCCTGACTTGTGCCTTGTAGATGGTGGGACAGGCTTTGGGGGGAGACAGGACGGGAGTTACTCTCTGCAGGATTCCCAGCCTCTGACCTGCTGTTGTAGCCGCTGTGTTTATGTGGTGGGTCCAGGGGAGTTTCTGGTCAGTGGTAACCCCCAGGATGTTGATAGTGGGGGGATTCAGTGATGGTAACACCATTGAATGTCAAGGGGTGGTGGTTAGATTGTCTCTTATTGGTGATGGGCACAGCCTGGCATTTGTGTGGCGCAAATGTCACTTGCCCCTTGTCAGCCCAAGCCTGGATATTGTCCAGATCTTGTTGTATTTGGACACGGACTGC